ATTCTGTTTACATGTTGTGTGACTCTTAAAATCTTTTTATTTCTCTTTTGAGATTAAGTTCTGCAAAAAGAGAAGCTTTCTTTATAAAACATTCCCTGATTTTTATCAATTATCTATTGGAATTTACACTGCTTGAGAGGTACCTGCCTAAAAGAATGATGATAAATACTCATAAATGTGATTAAGCCAATATTGAAGTCAAAAATACCTATAAAGTGAAAAGAGACCAAGTTTTTGAATGACTGCTAGAAAACAAAGTAGAATATGTGAAATCTATATAATTTGGAATAATTTCCTTATATAGTTTCTTAACTATTATTACTCCAAATCATATAATTTATAATTTCAAATAATGTTTCAAGTTCTTTTAATATTAGATGGTCATTTTTTTCCTAGAGAGAAGTTACTTTTTAATTCCTTTAAGGTCATGGGGAACAAAGAAAATATTGAAGAAGGAACTGTGTTCCTTAGACCGTGAAAGATGATTCACCTGATCTGCCTTTCCATTCTTTAAATGCAATGGGATGTTTGATTTTTCAAAAGATTTTGGAGACTATCTAATTAATGCTTTGTTTTGGAGATGAGATTACTCAAGTCTAGAAATCAAAGTACAGAAACCTGGGATTCTCATGTCACATTTTCACTATACCATTGCTGTTTAAGATCCAGATTTAGAATTAATTTGGGGACTTCCCTGGCAGTCTAATGGTTGAGACTTCACTTTCCAGTGAAGGAGTTGCAGGTTCAATCCCTGGTTGGGGTGCTAAGATCCCACATGCCTTGAAGTCAAAAAACCAAAACATAAAACAGAAGCAGTACTGTAACAAATAAAGACTTTACAAAAATAGTCCATATCAAAAAGATCTTATAAAAAAGAATAGAATTAGTTTTAATGGAATGACCCATGACATGGATTAATTTCCAAACTTTAATCCTCATGAAAGGAATGTGTGCCCTTGGAAAGTGAACATCGGTGCACAGAATGGTTTTATAAACTCTTTGGTTATTTAAATTTATCTAATCTGCAAGGCAAGCTACCAAATATCAATTATTGCCATTTATAAAACTTTATAATTATAAAGTAGAAAATGAAATTTGACCTATTTTAAAAAATAATCTTTGAGTGGCAGTATCTTAATTTGTTTCATATTGTATTTGTTTACTCTCTGCTACAATTCATTGATTTTGAGACTACATAGTAATATACATATATATTCATGCACATATATATTAATAAATATATATGTGAACATATGACTAAATCAGTAGTCTTGGTATTGTGAAATAATATATGGGATATTTTTAAGTTGGAATTTTTTTTTTTTTTAAGTTGGAATTCTTAATGTAACATAGGAAATCCAATTTCCCTGGAAAAATTTGTTTGACAATGGCATCAAACTATGAAAACTTTTCTGGCTAACCAAAAATTATTAATTTCCATAAATGGAAATAATTTCAGAGCATGAAAGTTGGATCTGTTTATAACTGATTTAAATAATTTTGGGGGAAATTTTATTATTTTGGAAATATTAAAACATGTGGTTACATTAATTTTAATTTAATGACACTCCTCTAGAACTTCTCTCTTCTAAATGTAAGTATTCTTAATTGTCCTCCTCCTTTGTTCCTTCCTCATCTAGTTTCCACTGCCTGCTCTTTCTGTCATAGCATGACCTTTTATTGTGGTTAGATCTTCTATTATAACTAGAATCACTTTCCTTACTTCAAAAATCTGTAAGATGATTCAGATAATGGAAAATAAAAAGTTTAACATATAACAGTGTAAAAATGTTATTTATATCAGGATTAAGTTTATTTAGCTCTGTCCGTTGAATTGGAAATGTAACCCATTGATTTCTGAGGCACATGACATCTTGAAAGTGAAAGTGTTAGTGGCTCAGTAGTATCTGACTCTGCAACCGCATGGACTGGCCCACCAGGCTCCTCTGTCCATGAACTTCTCCAGCAAGAATACTGGAGTGGGTCTTCATTCCCTTCTCCAGGGGGTCATCCTAACCTAGGGATTGAATCCAGGTCTCCTGCATTGCAGACAGATTCTTTACTGTTTGAACCACTGGGGAAGCCCCAGTTTAGCTTATATTTGGCCCATGGTATTATTATATTGTTTTTTACTCCCTTGAATTTCAAGTTATCTTTCTTTTCTCTTGTTTATAAAAAGCAGCATTTAGCTGTACATTATTATTGTGAACAGAGACCTCCTTAATTATAGCAGATGCTAATTGGAATCCATTTGTTTCTGAGGACCTTTATTTCAGAGCCTCTGATTTTCTGCTTTAACATGGATGGCACATTTATTTTCTAGACCTGCTGCCACCTATCATTTATTTCTTATGTACTAGGTGTCAGGAAATATCTGCAATGATGGACCCAGAATGAAGGTTTAAATACATTATTTAAGGTAATGTGTACTAAAATAAAAAATTAAAGAATAAAAAAATTATCTGTATACACTTTTAGGAGAAGGGATATAATGATGTAATGTCATTAATTTTTTATTGAGGTGAAACTATTAATAATAATGAAATTTATATCTTTAGAAATGAAGGTATAAACTTACTTCTTTGAATGATTTAAATAGTCATTGAAGAAGAAAAAATTAGAAATCATTAAACATAGTTTTGTCTGCAGAAAAGACTGGGAGTGTGAAAAAGATATATTTACTTTTTGTCATTCAGACACCCATATTTTGTAACTTTGTTACCATAAGTCTGTTTACTCTTATAATAATAATAAAACATGACCACTTTGGGGAAAATACCATCATAACCTTAAAATAAAATATCTAAAATTAGTTAAAATTTATTAGCAAATGAGAGAATAAATATTTTTCTAGATGAAAGTCTATGTTACTTCATATAAAATTGTGTTTATTGAGGGCCACCTAATGGGACTGGAATTATACTTAGTGTTGGAGATACAGCAATAAAAATGTGTCCCTTTTGTCATAGATATAGTAGTTCAGACACATAAAGACAAGTAAAGAAGCAGAACTGCTACTCTGAAATACTTAAGATGATAAACCCAGATTTGAGAAGGCAAGAGCCTTCATGAGAAAAAGAAATCTAAGCTAAAGGCTATAGAAAGATAGAGGACACTCGGAATAACCCCTCTCACATACATGCATCCTTACCTCTGTTCACTCTCTTTTCTAATTTTGTCAACTAAGTCTCAGAAAAATAATTCTCTTTTCTTCCTCAGGATAAACCAAAACCAACAAACACACACACACACAGCATTTTTTAAAGACGTCTTCTGATTTTACAATGGTGATTAATCTCATTTACCAAGCTAAAGCATCAGTTATGATAATCATTATAACAGTAAACAGACATGATAACAAAGTTACAAATATAAATGTTTAAATAAGGAAAAGTAAAAGTCTTTCACATTTTGTCTTTTCCATAAACAAAAATATGTTTAACAATTTCTAGCTTTTCTCCTTTGTTGGCTATTTAAATAATTTAGGAAAGTATGCTTGTACCTTAATTTCTGAAAATATAAATTTAGTTATTATCAATAGTTTCACCTCAATAAAAAATTAATGCTATTACCCTACACCATTATATTCTTTCTCCTAAAAAATGTATACAGCTGCAACCCATGAAATGTTAACAGTGCTATATCCACACTCAATTTATTAATTCCAATAATAGTGACACTATTAACCGTAATAATGCTGTGTAGCAAACTACTGCAAACTCTAATGATCTACAGTATTCAACATGTATTTAGGTGTTTGTCTGAACAGCTGAGATCAATTGATCCAGGCCCAACACAGCTCTGGGTCTGCACTAATTTCAGCTGGCCTTCCTCAAGTGCTTAGAGGTTCTGCTGGGTCTCAGATGCTCTAGACTGGTTTCCATGTGAGCAGGTTAGCTAGACTCTTCATGTTTCTCTCACTACTTTAGTCCAGGCATATTCTTTATAAGTTGATGGCAGGGGTCTTGGAAAGAGAATTGAAGTATGGGAAGACTCTCAAAGCCTAGGATCAGACCAGCATATCATCAATTCTATGCTGTTCTGTTGGTCAGAGCAAGACTTGTGGGCCAACCTGAAACCAAGAAGAAGGAAAATATACTCTACCGCTTTGTGGGAGAATCTGAAAAGTCACATAGCAGAGAGTAGGTATAGGGAAGATTAAAGAATCGAGGTGCCAGATGCCAAGTACACAAACACTAAAACATAGACTAATTATAAGAATGTCCAATACATTTTTTTCACTATACCTACTCCATAGCTTTTTTTCAGAAATAACACATTTCAAAATATCTTCAGAAACCCTTGTTTCCTAGAGGTCCAAAGCATGTGCCATGTCAGCCTACTAGATTATCCTGCCCTGCCGCCCTTAGAGGATTTTAATTTCAACTGTTTTTTTTTTTTAGACTTTATTAATGCTTTTATTTTATTTTTTTCATTTATTTTTATTAGTTGGAGGCTAATTACTTTACAATATTGTTTTATAGAGTTAAATATACCAAAAAGCATAAATATGATTTTGACTCTCAAACAAAACAGATAAAAGGATAATACTGTCAACATTCCATGGACAGAGGAACTTGGCAGGCTACAGGCCATGGGGTCACAAAGAGTCGGATATGACTTAGTGACTAAACCACCATCATATCAGAGGTATACTAATAAGAGCATTTGTTGACCTTATAAGAGAGGATTTTTGTGGTATGACTTTTTAAAAGTGTCCATGACCAATGATCAGTTATTTTTTGTCAGTGTCGGTTTTTTGGTCTATGAATATGATGTGATAATATCTACTGGAAAATATGACTTAGAAAAGTAAATCACCTAATAGAATTCCTGGTAGATGACAGATGTTGAGTCTATATTTGTTGTGACTATATTGTGCTCTAGTTTTGTGGGATTTGGAGCAGATTATTTAGGTCCTGTTAGCTTTAGTTTTCTTTTTTTTTTTCCCACTGGAAAATAATTTTATTGAGATTCTACCAGCTGTACAATCTGTTCTATTAGGCCCCTTCTTCCTTGGCAATTCGGTCCTTCTTAAGTGGTCCCGTGAAGGCTTTCCTCTCTTCCACAGTCTGGAAGCGACCATGACCAAATTTGGAGGTGGTGTCAATAAGTTTGAGGTCAGTCTTCTCCAGGGCCCGCAGTGTGGTCTGCACCAGCAAAGGACTTGCACAGAGTGAGCACTGCTTCTTGGTTCCCACCACACAGCCTTTGAGCATGACAAAGTCATTGGTCACCTCACCGTAGTGGACAAAGCCGCCCAGAGGGTTGATGCTCTTGTCAGACAGATCGTAATCAGTAGAGGCATTGTTCTGGATCAGTTTGCCATCCTTGATGAGGTAGCCCTGATTGATCTTGTGAATCTTCTTGTTGATCTCAGTGCGGTGATGGTAGCCTTCTGGCACAGAGGAAGCAGGCGCATCTGGGTGTGGGCAATGACACGGGTGACCTGACAGTACTTCTTCATGCTGCTGAAGTCCTTCTCCAGTTGCTTCTTGCCGTCTACGTCCTGCCAGTTCTTGCAGTATCTGGGGAAGGCTTTCTTCTTAGATTTATGCCAGTTCTTGTAGAAGGGCCTTTTGCACTCGTCGCTGATATGCTCAGCAAAGATGGTCTTAAAGGTCCGGAGGCCTCGGGGTGTTTCCACGTAGCCCACGATGCCCACAATCACCATGGGCGGAGTCTCCACGATGGTCACAGCCTCCACAACCTCCTTCTTGTTCACCTTGGACCCTGGCCTATCGACCTCCCTCACAATGTGGGTCATGCCAGCCTTGTAGCCGAGGAAGGCGGTGAGGTGCACGGGCTTGGAAGTGTCATCCTTGGGGAAGCGCTTCACCTTCCGGCGGTGCTGGCTGCTGCGCTTCCGAGGCGGGAAGCCCAGGGACCCGTGCCTGGGAACGAGAACTTCCTGTGAGACATCCGGCTGTCGGAAGCTGCTGGTAGAGGAGCTTTAGTTTCTTTTTTTTTTTTTTTTTCATTTATTTTTATTAGTTGGAGGCTAATTACTTTACATCATTGCAGTGGTTTTTGTCATACATGAAATGAATTAGCCATGGATTTACATGTATTCCCCATCCCGGTCCCCCCTCCCACCTCCCTCTCCACCCGAACCCTCTGGGTCTTCCCAGTGCACCAGGCCCGAGCACTTGTCTCATGCACCCAACCTGGGCTGGTGATCTGTTTCACCCTAGATAATATACGTGTTTCGATGCTGTTCTCTTGAAACATCCCACCCTCGCCTTCTCCCAGAGTCCACAAGTCTGTTCTATACATCTGAGTCTCTTTTTCTGTTTTGCATATAGGGTTATCGTTACCATCTTTCTAAATTCCATATATATGTGTTAGTATACTGTAATGGTCTTTATCTTTCTGGCTTACTTCGCTCTGTATAATGGGCCCCAGTTTCATCCATCTCATTAGAACTGATTCAAATGAATTCTTTTTAATGGCTGAGTAATATTCCATGGTGTATATGTACCACAGCTTCCTCATCCATTTGTCTGTTGATGGGCATCTAGGTTGCTTCCATGTCCTGGCTATTATAAACAGTGCTGCGATGAACATTGGGGTGCACGTGTCTCTTTCAGATCTGGTTTCCTTGGTGTGTATGCCCAGAAGTGGGATTGCTGGGTCATATGGCAGTTCTATTTCCAGCTTTTTAAGAAATCTCCACACTGTTTTCCATAGTGGCTGTACTAATTTGGAGCTTTAGTTTCTTATCCGTAAAACCAGATGCATGTGTGCATGCTAAGTCGCTCAGTCTTGTCCAACCGTTTGTGACCCAATGGACCATACCCCTCCCAACGCCTCTGTCCATGGGATTCTCCAGGCAAGAATACTGGAGTGGGTTGTCATTTCCTCCTCCAGGGGATCTTCCCAACCCAGGGGTCAAACCTGCCTCTCTTACGTTTCCTATACTGGCAGGCAGGTTCTTTACTACTAGTGCTACCTGGGGAGCCCCAAAACTGAGATACTAATGCCTATTTTAAGAGTTATGATGGTTACATTAGTTAATCCACAAAAGGTAGAAGAGTGCGTGAATATGGTGAACATGTAGTCATGAAGAATAATTAGCAACTTCTTGGAATATAAATCTTTAATGTCTCATATATAATATTACTTTTATGAAAGTTATTAAGACATAAAATTATTTATCAGTTTATCATTCAAAAGAAGTTATTAAGCCTATTATGCCCATATTAAGGAACAAATTATTAAAGAGCTAATAATATATGTTCCTTATACCTGCTTATATCCTAGATGCGGAGAAAATAGATGTATGTTTGAAACATAAACTAAAAAGCAGGCATGAAATTAATTCTGAAATGGTAGTTTATTTAAAAATTTCTCCAGAAATTAAAGAAAAGAGAAGATCAATAGCCAGAAAGAGGCTAGAGGGGGATAGAAAAGAACTGTTAATCTGAACTTGAACAAATATTCAGGACATTCAAAATGAAGAAACAGTAGGCTTGAGCTCAAGAAACAGTGAGAAGAGAAGAGTTAAAAAACAAACAAAACAAAACATTTGCTTACATTGAAATGGTGCATGTATTTAGAAGAGAAAGATGGGGCCAGATTCAGGGGGAACTTTGAATATCAAAAATTTGAATCATATATAAGTCTAAACATTAGCCACAAATCAGTTTGCTTTGAGTTTTAAAAATATTTTGATCATTATTCTTTGCGTCCATTAACTTAACGTTTGTATAACAAATGAAGTAACTAGTGATGTAATCAATATCTTTGAGAGAGGGTACTTTGCTCATTTTGGTTCACAAGTGTGAAATTTAAGAGCTGGACTTTGCAAAATTATTTCTAAGATTCTCTACTATTTTAATCACTAATCAATTAATCTTACAATAAATGTTTCTTGCTTGTGTATTATCTGCTAGGGTTTTGATGGATAATGTGCACATTGTTGTAGACCTCAAGAAGCATGCAGTCGTTTGGAATTTGTGGGTAAAGTAACTAACACAAAGTGAAATGTTAAATTCTTGGGTATGGATGCTGAGTGCCATAGTGGCTGTTAGAAGGGAGAGGTCTGTGTGATCAGAAAAGACAATTTCTAGAAAGAATACAACTTGATGTGTACCTTAATACATACTTAGGAGACAAATATGTGTAAGAAATGGTGAGAGAGTCATGATAGGAGAAGATTCAATAAACACAGAGATGTAGGAGTGATCACAATGTTCTCCACTTTCAAAAGGAACCTGTCTAAATGTTAAGGCATAGACGTACTGAATGAGTCCACTGGAGTCAGAAAATGCAGGGACTGAAAACCAGTCAGAAGATTTTGAGTCTAAGGTTGAAAACATGAGAAAGTTGTGGGAGCATAAGGAAGACAGTGTTAAGACAGATCAGTCTAGTTGTGGTGGGCAGAGAAAGATTAATCATAAAAGACTCAGACAGGATTTGAAAGTGATAGTGCTAGCCTCACAATCATGTCTGACTCTTTTCGACCCCATGAACTGTAGCCTGCCAGGCTCTCCCAGGCAAGAATAGTAGAGTGGGTTGCCATTTCTACTCCAAGGGATCTTCCCAACCCAAGGATCAAACTTGGGTCTCTTGCATTGCAGGCAGATTCTTTACCGAATGAGGCCACAGGGAAGACCCTCAGACAGGATTTGGGTTGTATCAAGGACTCCAGAATATTTCTTTTTTTTCAATTTTATTCTCTATATGTCCCATACAATGGTCAGTATAGCTCAAGTATGTAAAAACTGGAACTCTCAAATGATCATCAAATAAAATATTTTCCAATTAGATCCTGTCCCAAACTGTTTTTTTAAAAAACACTGAAGCCTTATGTTTATTATTTCATGTTATAATTGTAGATAAATAGACAAAAGAACACAATAGTCTGTATAATAAGATGACAACAACAAAAGATAGCCCTATGCTAGTATCTTACATAGAAATCAACTCCTGATATTTCTTTCCAGATTGGTTTTGAGCAAGAGTTTTAGCTCTTTATCCATATTTGTTTTTGAAATTTTGGCATCACCACATTCTATCCCATTTGTTTCTAATGTTAGCACTGTTCATTGAAGGGAAAATAGTAAGTCTAGGAAGATCATTTCAACCCATTGTTTTATCAGTTCCTTAAGCATAGAGGGCTGTTTTGTCTCAGAACAACTACAGTGCACTGTTTGTAATTATGGAGGCATCTTGGAATCACAGACACCAAGAGAGAAAGCTCTGTGATCTGACTGTGACTGGGAAAGAGAAAATGCTTCTATGAAAATTCAATGTCTTTAAAACTAGAAATATTCTGGCTTCAAACTAATTGTTAAAATTTAGAAATAGAGGGAAATAGCTTAATTTTGAAATGACATTCTGTTTTTGAAAACTATATATTAAAGCATTTTTATATAAAGTCTTTTATAACATCGAGTAACTCTGACACTGCTTTGATGAGTAAAGTGTAAATGAATCGGATCATATAGATTAAATTCCCTTTGAAATGCTCAAGGGTTTAAATAACTAGCGGATATGTGATTGGCCCAAATCATTTGGGGTTTTATTGACCCCCAAAGCATTCAAAAGAGGAATTGAGCTTCTCAGGCCATCGAAATGTGGCTGTTGGTCCAATGATGATATCTGATGTGAAACCTCAAGAAAATATTTCTTTTTTAAAAACTACATTACAAAATTATTTTTGAATCCAGTTAGTAATAGATGATGTAAGTCAAAGTCAAGGAAACATTTTCTTCTGGTATTTTTGACAAAATCCTTGTGCTAATTTTACCTGATTATCAAGATAACTAATTTCCTTTTGCATGTAGAGTTAAACTCTGCTTCTCAATTAGAATTAACTAGCTTTTCCAGAATTTGGTTAGAGTCAAGGGTGATGAGGTCCATGGGGAAGTGTGCAGGTGGAGAACCAGGAAATTATACCCTTGAGAAGCTCTGGAGTTTTTAATCATTGAGATCTGACCCATAATGACCGATGAAAACATTCTGCTCCTCACTAGTGACTTGCAGATGGTGGACCTGGTTCAGACTCATGTTCACTTCTTTCTTTCTTAAGTAAGCAAATACACATGTATGTATGTGTGTGTGTGTGTGTAGAAATAAGGGATTACAACAGCTGTCAAAAATTCTTATTTCTGTTATTCATGACACCTAGCATCAGACTAAGTTGCTAGGTGTGATTTTTCCATGCAAAGAATTATCCAACAAAAGCCTTTCCCATAAACCCCCTCTGCTCTGCACAAGGGGTTCTACCTGCTCAATTTTTCTGTAAATCTAAAATGTTCTAAAATCTCAA